CAAACAGTTGTGCAACATACAGTAATGGACAATAGTATATAGACAAATTAATATTGTCATGTATTTATTTTTTAACTTGTTTTATTAATACACCAACCTGTATACATAATTCGTTATAGAATGATACATAAATAAATTTATTAGACTTCCTTCAATAATAATATAATGAAAAAACTGGAACTATGAAGGACAAAAATATATAGACAAGGCAAAACAATTATAGAAAAAAGAAGCAAGGTTCATTGAATTATAGAAAACCAACCATGTTTGTGTTAATATTTTGTAGCATAACCATTATTATCAATCACCGCCTGGCATCGTATCGGCGTAGATTGTAGAAGTTTCTTGATATAAGATTCATCAATCTGTCTCCACTTTTGCTCCAAAGCGGCAAAAAGTTCATCCTTGTTTGAATAATTTTTATCTCGTATTCGCTTATCTAAGTATTCCCATAGATTTTCAATGGGGTTTATATCGGGAGACTGTGAAGGCCATTTCAGAACTGGTATTTTTTCATCCAGAAAGAATTTCTTTGCGAGATTTGAAGTGCGCTTCGGGTCATTATCTTGCTGGAAGATTGATCTTAAGGGCATATTGTCTTCCATATAAGGTAACATGACATGCTTTAGTAAGTCTGTGTATACAAACTTATCCGTAATGCCATCTATTCTATGTAAAGGTCCCATTCCAAACCCCGAAAAGCACCCCCAAACCATAACAGACCCGTCTCCATGTTTGACAGTGGGCAAAGTGTACTTGGGGTTCAATCTTTGTCCACTAGGATGTCTAACGTAATGAACACCATCTGATCCAAACATATTGAACTTGGATTCGTCACTGAAACATAACCTCTTCCATGCTCCAATCAAGATGCAACCGTGCAAATTGTAATCGGTCCTTACGGTTTTTCCTCGGAATTAAGGTTGATTCTCACTATACATTCCGTTTCCATTCCATATCAGTTTCGTAAACGTTCCGTACAATGTGATTATATACACAGTATGCCTTACGGATTATGTGCATACACACGCAATAGCCTGCTTTAAGCGAAGGCGAATATTTAATTTTAATAATTTACGGAAGGGTTACGGAATCGAAACTGAATGTATAGTGAGAATCAACCTTTAGCGGCTTCTTACTCGGGCAACGTGCAAATAACTTCAAATCATTTAATCTTCTACTTATAGTTTTCATAGAAACACTGGCAATTCCTTTTGTCTCGATTTCGGCTTTCATTTGTCTTGTGGTTTTAAACGGATCTTTGGACGAAATTACTTTTATTAATCTAACTGATCTAGCATTTAGTTTTCTAGGCCGACCACTTCTGTTAGAGGCTTCCAAGATACATTTTTTCTTTATATTTGTTCAATATTGTCCAAACTGCTTTACGCTTCGGCTTCAAATTTTTGGCAATGTCGACTTGACGTTGACAATCTTTGTATAACTCAATGATCTTAGTTTTCACATCGAAAGAAATTTCTGGACCACGCGGCATGATCTTAAAATCACTCAACTTATTCCACAATACTTATTATTATTATTATTATTATGATAATTGAGATGAGCAGAGTACACAGTACTATAAGCTCATGCAGTAAATATAGTGTACGGACACGTAACACAAATACATCAAATAGAAAAAAATTAAAAAAGACAGTTCATAGCTATAAAGTTTGTACACTCCTCCAGCTATCATACTGCACTTTGAAGCTATTAACTGAAGTAGCACCAACCACACTTTCAGGTAAACTATTCCAGGTGTTGAATATGCGGTTGGGAAGATACCACTGTCGGACTGTTGTTTTAAATGGCTCCTTGTGCAGTTTGAAGCTGTGTCCGCGTAGATTGCTGCGCGACAGATGGTATAGATGCATGAGGTTGGTGCCCATCAAACCATGAAGTATCCTGAACGTAACTATAAGATCGCCACGAAGTCTTCGCTCAGAGAATGAGGTCAGGTTGAATAATTCAAGGCGATCTTCATAGCTTGGTCTTCGTGCTCCAAAAGGGATACGAGTAGCCCGACGCTGTACTGATTCGACGAGATTTCTATCGCGCAGAAGCACAGTCCCATACCGGGCCAGCGAATTCAAGAATTGGCCTCACGAATGCCTTGTAAATGTAAGCACAAGTGTTGACATCGGATCCTTTGAAAGACCTCTCCAGCATGTATAGAAGTTTCTTGGCTTTTGATGTAACGTGGTGAATATGCGCTGACCAGGAAAGACGATCGTTGACTAAAACGCCCAGATCAGTGTGGCTGGAAATTGCTTCGATGTTGTGGTCAGAGATCTTGTATGTAAATCGCGGATTTGTCTTCCCGAGGTGAAGGACACAACACTTAGTTAGATTTAAGCGTAAAAGCCAACTGACTGACCATTGACAAACAATATCAAGATCTCGTTGAAGCATAGCAGAATTTACGACAGTATTGTAAATCTTGGTGTCGTCGGCATAAGCTGAACATGTGGAGGGAATCAATGCGGGCAGGTCACTTGTATACAGAAGGAACAGCACTGGCACCAAGACAGAGCCTTGAGGAACTCCACTTGCTACATGATGAAGGTGAGACTGGCTATCACTGACGCGCCTCCCGGTGAGAAAAGCCTTAATCCACAGTAACAACTCGCCTCTTATTCCCATACATTCCAACTTAAACAGAAGCCTTCTATGTGGTACGCGATCGAAAGCCCTAGAAAAATCTAAATAGATTATATCAACAGGAGTCTTTGTGTCCAGATACTGAGTCCAAACGTTGAGAGAGTGGAGAAGGTTGGTCATTATTGATCGACCAGGGAGAAATCCATGCTGATTCTTAGGGATAAGGTCATTTTCGGAAGCAAATGACAGGAGCTTATCTAATATGATTCTTTCAGCTATTTTGGCGGCGATAGGAACGAGACTTATTGGTCGATAATTTTTAGCGGAGGATTTGTCGCCCTTTTTGAATACAGGGGTAACAGAAGCACTAAGCCAGCATGAGGGTAGGGTATGAGATCTAAAAGACGATGTGAATATCAAGCTTAATGGTAGGGCCAGTGCTGAAGCGCAGTTTTTAAGTACAGCAGCCGTCATCCCATCTTTACCAGGGGAGGAAGAGGTCTTCAGATTTCGCAGGTGCATTAATACATCTTCAGGCAGGAACTCAACTTCGCAAAGGCTGTTGGGACACCTATGGCAGATAGTGGTCGGTAGAAGGTCTCCATTAGGCTCATCGACGAAGTCATCACTAAAGGACTCTGCCAGTAAGTTGGCAGATTTGGTGGCATCCATGTGGAGATGACCGTCAGCGTCGCGGATCTGAGGTGATGAAACTTTGGAATTCAGGTTTGTTCTAAGATACCGAAACAGCTTCTTCTTATTTTTGGAGGTAACGAGTTTTCGTTCATAAGCATGTTTGGCATTATATAATGTTCTAGATAGGAGGTTAGAAAAGGATCGATGAGACACGTAATCTTGTGAATGGCCACTCCTCCTAAACCGTTGCCACAAAGATCTCTTGTGACGAAGCATCCTCGATATGTTAGAGTTGATCCAGGGCTTTGAGGGGTCACAGTATACCCTCTTTTCAACAGTATTGTCAGCCGTTTCGCTTAGGACTCGTTGAGCGAAAGTGTCCCACATATCTTGGGTGCTACGGTTGTTAAACAAAGCAGGCCAGTTGACTTCAGACAGGGCTTGGTTAAGAGCATCGTGGTTTACAATTTTGATGGTTTTAAACTTATCGGTTGTAGAACGACTATTTATATTGAACTGGAGAGAAGATAAAAGTGAACAGTGGTCAGACTTGCCAAAAGGTGGCAAATAATCTAAATTAGAAACAAAGTCGGCGTCGTTAACGAATATCAAATCCAGAGCCCTAGGCGTCTGTTCTTCCCTGAATCTCGTTGGACGATCGACAAGTTGAGATATGCTAGAGTTGCGTAGCTAGTCGATGTAAGCAGCAGAAGAAGAATTGCATTCAGGAATGGTTGACATAGGCCAGCTAATGTTACGTAGATTGAAGTCACCAGCTATGAAAAGGTTGGTGTTTTTATTTAAGAGATCTTAAATGAGACTGCACAGGTGTGTGTCTCACAAACAGGGCCGTGGCCGACATATGCAGCCTATCGTGAAGCTGAAATTTGGGCACCTCAATTCCAAAAATAGATTGTCAATGCCATCGAAAGGACTAAAAGAGGGAGATACCGAGAAAGCCGACGCGATTTCCGTGCGAACATAAATGCATACTCCACCAAAACCAGGAGTGCGTGGTGAATCCATTCTGTATAAATAGTATCCAGGCAAATTGATGGAAGAGTCGGACACGATGGAATGGAGCCATGTTTCAGTAAGGCAAACGAACGTTGGATTATTGTCTCGAACAAATGCTTGGAGTTCAAGTAGCTTAGAAAAGAGAGATTGTATATTAGTGTAACAAACCGTCCAGTTTGCCACAGAATTTATCAGTTTTTTGAAGGTGTGATCTCCTGGGTAGCTGTGTGTACTATAGAAGGTTTACCACGAACGTATTTTATAGTAATATTACTTTCGCCTGTTGTCTGACGACGTCTAAGCTCTTCGCGAAGGTGTTGTAGTTCTTGCATTTGACCTCTGGTTTTGTCGCCAGAGATTATTACGTGACGAAGCGTGGGGTGGCTAAGGATGGAGTTTTTCTTCCGCAAAATATTGCTGACGATAATAGGTGAGGAAAACACAACTCTAATTAAACGATTGATTGAAGTTGTTCTGCCAAGGCGAGTGATTCTGAGTCGGTGATTTTCGGCAGATGGTTCAATATGCCTAATTAACTCTGATATTATGTTTATGTCATCGTTTCCTTCAGCTATGCCCCTCAGAATGATATTGTGGGAACGTCTAAATAACTCCATTGTCTCAGCTTGGGAGCTTGGGGCAATAGGGGTAGAAGAAGCGCCGTTGCCTGACTGCATCGTCTCCATAGATCTTGCAAGTCTCGATTCAATATTAGCAATGTTAGAAGACAGCTCTGTTTGAGTAACCTGGATATTTTGTATGTTGGTCTCGGAGGCCGCTATTAAGTCATCATGCCGAGAGATCGAGTCCGAATGTTGCTGTAGCAAGTTTCTACAATAAGCAACATCAGTTCTGAGTTGAGATTGAGAGTTCTTAATATCCTTTATGTCACTGGCCATAGTTGAGAATTGGTTAAGTATAAGGGTGAGAGTGTCGGTAGGGGTAGACTGATCTGGTTGTAAAGGAGCAGTGGTTTCTGAACGAGCACCGCATGTGGAAGAGGTGGATCCGCTTCGGGTAACTCGTCCCTGTTTACAACAGGCTGGGCAAGACCATCGTTCTTTTCCGTCCGACAGTTCTTCGTTGTTATCACTGTATTTTTCTACATTATCCCCATCTTCAGGATCTTTCATGTTTTTATTCTTCTTTCGTACAGTCTGACTCATGTTCCCTTATTCCAGCGGCTATTTCCGGATTACCCTATACACTCTGTAGACTAGTTTCTTAATTTGATTTGACACTATTGACGAAATGTCCAAATGACAAAATGGAATATATGGTAAAATGGCTGAAGATTACTCCCACGGCTCTGGAAACTATCGCCAACGGGTCCGCGGACGTACCTCTTCCTGCTCTTAACTTGAACACCTCTGGTTTTGAATATTTTTGGCTTTTCTCCGATATTTTGAGGTATTTACAGTGAATACTAATTTAGTAGTCTACTATTTAACATTACTTGAAACTACTTGATGAACACAAACTAATCCTCTTCTGACACGAAACTGTACTAAACTAATGTTGAAAAGAATTTGTCTACATATTTTTGTCGCTCATAAAAAAGTGCTTATATTCAGGCTTGTATTGTGTTCATCGCAGATAATGTAAAAACAAGGAATTTAGTTTTTCTACTAATAACGCATTTGTTTATGGAGCAATGAAGTATGAATTCGTTTCCTAAAGGTATTTAGGTAAATATTCATATTTGTCTATATACTTTTGTCCATTACTGTACGTGTTCGTAGCTTACATTTTGACAGAGGGGCTAACTTATGTATTTGTGGATTGACAACAACTTACGCAACACTTTTAAACGTCTTACCCGATAATTCTTACTAAATCTACCTAGTATTAATTTGACCACATAAAAAGGCAACTAAAATTTCTAACAACATTTCGATTCCGCATGATTGCGAATGCCGAATTTAAATCGACGCTACGGTTTAAACTTCATCAACAAGGAATTTAGTTTTTCTACTAATAACGCATTTGTTTATGGAGCAATGTGGTATGAATTCGTTTTCTAAAGGTATTTAGGTAAATATTCATATTTGTCTATATACTTTTGTCCATTACAGTAGTTCGAAAGAAATGTGTCCACCGTGTACAGACACATTGGTGCAATTTGAGGAAATTTTTATTCAACTCCAAATAGTACACTGATAGTTCTGACAAAACCTACGTCATTTTGTTTTAGAGGCTTGCGAAGTATAGAGTCAATCTGCTTGACGAAAGTTTTTAAATTTCACCAATCCATGTTTTTAAAAATTATAGCACTTCACCATAGTTTGTCGATTTATTATCCTTTCGCTGCAAGCTTTACACGTAGATATTTCCGATCATTCACTTTTTTTTCGTTAACAGAACCACTACAATCTACAATCAACTCGTCTATACTGAAACACGCGAAGAAAATCGTTTATTTGGGAGGAAACCTGTTGTATTTTTTCTCCAGCGATTTCGCTGGATCGGATTGATTGTTCGCATCACGAACAGGGTACAGGTTACATCAATTTCCTACCTTTTACCTTTTCTCTAACGTCAGCAAATTGCCCATAAAACTGCTTGCTCCTTTTTCTCTTGAAACTTGCCCATTTTGATTGACTGAGCGTACTTTTATACCTAGTCTGCACGATTATAGTCAAGAAACAATTTATCTTACGAAATAAAATGAAATGCTTACTACCTTAAATTTTTTGGAATTTCAAATTTAGTTTTTTCATCAAAAATTACTTTTCTTATATAAAACGCTATGTTTCATTCCCTAATGTCAGCAAATTGCCCATAAAACTGCTTGCTCCTTTTTCTCTTGAAACTTGCCCAGTTTGATTAACTGAGCGTACTTTTATACCTAGTCTGCACGATTATAGTCAATAAACAATTTATCTTACGAAATAAAATGAAATGCTTACTACCTTCAATTTTTTGGAATATCAAATTTAGTTTTTTCATCAAAAATTACTTTTCTTATATAAAACGCTATGTTTCATTCCCTAATGTCAACAAATTGCCCATAAAACTGCTTGCTCCTTTTTCTCTTGAAACTTGCCCATTTTGATTAACTGAGCGTACTTTTATACATTGTCTGTACGATTATAGTCGAAAAACAATTTATCTTACGAAATAAAATGTAATGCTTACTACCTTCAATTTTTTTTTGAATCTCAAATTTAATTTTTTCATCAAAAAGTACATTTCCTATATAAAACGCTATGTTTCATTCCCTAATGTCAGCAAATTGCCCATAAAACTGCTTGCTCCTTTTTCTCTTGAAACTTGCCCATTTTGATTAACTGAGCGTACTTTTATACCTAGTCTGCACGATTATAGTCAAGAAACAATTTATCTTACGAAATAAAATGAAATGCTTACTACCTTCAATTTTTTGGAATTTCAAATTTAGTTTTTTCATCAAAAAGTACATTTCCTATATAAAACGCTATGTTTCATTCCCTAATGTCAGCAAATTGCCCATAAAACTGCTTGCTCCTTTTTCTCTTGAAACTTGCCCATTTTGATTAACTGAGCGTACTTTTATACCTAGTCTGCACGATTATAGTCAAGAAACAATTTATCTTACGAAATAAAATGAAATGCTTACTACCTTCAATTTTTTGGAATTTCAAATTTAGTTTTTTCATCAAAAAGTATATTTCCTATATAAAACGCTATGTTTCATTCCCTAATGTCAGCAAATTGCCCATAAAACTGCTTGCTCCGTTTTCTCTTGAAACTTGCCCATTTTGATTAACTGAGCGTACTTTTATACCTAGTCTGCACGATTATAGTCAAGAAACAATTTATCTTACGAAATAAAATGAAATGCTTACTACCTTCAATTTTTTGTAATTTCAAATTTAGTTTTTTCACCAAAAAGTTCTTTTCTTATATAAAACGCTATGTTTCATTCGCTAATGTGAAACTGTTCAATTCGAAAAAATCCCAAATTCAAATACGGCTTCTCTTTCGAAGTTCGTAAATTAACAAATTAACGTGCCACAAAAAAATCGTGTTTTCTCTTTCAAACTTACTAGATGTTCAAACAGGCCCAATATGAACGACTTTTTAAAACCTCACTTGTTTCGCTTCCCGCTTCACGTGAAATGCCCCTTATGTCAAGTTCACTTCTATTATGTACTTTCATCCTGACTACAGTGTGAGACTGCTTCTCATACTGCTCGTTATACCAGGACTGAATTCGTTGATTCCAATAGACAGCTTGAGGTTTTCACTCCCGCAGTGGTCGATTCTGATAATAGGTGGCACTTTGTGCTATCTATACTACAACTATTTAAAACTGTAATGACTCATACGCGTGATCAACACGTGATCAGAGCTCGATCCCGGCTTCCTTCCAGTACAGCCGTATAGCGTACGACATATGTCGTTTCTGTGGCTTTGCGGTGGTCAACAGCACAGACAGAGATGGAAATAATGGCTGATTGTTCTCCGCCGGTAGAACCAATGAAATCAAAGACGCGCCTCGACCGGCAGGCGTCGGCAACGTATTGGAACGTGTTTCGTTGAGCGATCGCATATTGTGTGTTTTTATAAGAATTGTTGTGTTAAGGTTTTACTTGAGACTTCCATACAGCTAGTAACGCCCGAAGCTTGGTAGAATGCTATCCGTCATGTTGTGAAGGAAGAAACAAAAATGTGGCAGCTTGACCACCACATCGACACCATCATAGAGCCAGTTATAGTCAATTTCAACGAGGAAAGCGATAGCGACAGTTTATTACTGTCAGATGTAAGTGGAAGCGACGATGAATAAAGGTAATTCCCAAATTTTTGACTTACAATATGTTTCAAACCACTCTTTATTAAGCATGTGACAAATCTAGTTCACCCATGTTAAACATTCATACCCCGCCTATGAACTGCCGACTACTGGTAGTTAAGTGATGTTCACGTGAACATCGATGAGTCATTACAGTTTTAGATAGTTATAGTATAGTTTCGATATACATACCTTATATGCTGAGACTTCCGTCGTTGTCATACCTGCGTACTAGCCTAGACCATGCTGAAGAGTTGCCAGATAACACGAAACAGCTGCCCATGGTCTGTGATGCAACGGAAGCTATATTTCTAGTCAACTGTCGACGTTTAACTCTCGTACCCTGGCGGCACATAACTGGAAGTGGAGCGCATGCCTTTTCGAGTCATTTAATTTAAACTTGTGTGAAATCGAAACTTTGTGAGCTATACGAGTATATGGATTAGGAATTACTAGATGTGCGTAATAATAACCACAAATCTAATTTAATCCGGGTCCTCGAATCAGTTCGGTGAAATGTAATAATTCAAAATTAGTTTTATATTAATACATACCTACTGAATCAATACAGACTGTATTTTCTGTTTTTGAATATTTATCGCGAAACGATGAATATAATTTCAAAACTCTCTCTTTAGACCATAAGCCTATTTGCTGTAAAAATACGAACCCTCACTGACCACCACACATTACCTGTGTTCAATTATGAATGTTGTGTAAAAACCTCTAACAAGTCATATCGAGTTTTTGTAGCTATATGTCCATCAAGTTAAACTAGCACTGTATTTACCCACATTAACAGCGTTTGTATTATGTATTTGCTTTCAGCCCCTGGGTATTACGGAATTTCGAATTTTTTCATGATTGAACAGGGGGTAATTGGGAATGAGCTGCGAACGTAAAACCCGGAAAAACTCCATAATAAATCATGGATAGCATTAGCAAACAGCGCTGTTTAAATTGGAAAAATGCTGTAAACGTATCCCTGGTAGAGAGAACGTAACGACGTTCGACCTGCCACTGAAAAAAAGTTCATTTTTCATTTGACGATGCTATTCCGTTTCTCCTGCTTTCAATGTCACAGTATTGTAGCTGTTTAAAATTGGTTGCATTTTTATAAATATAAAATGTAACAACCAAAAAACATGACATCGATTACTACAGCAAATGAGCATATTTCAAAATAAGAATGAGTTTCATTGTGTACTTGAGTTGAATTTGTGGTTGAATTTGTGGTAACGCCAACTGTTTTCGTTTTACACTTAATCCCAAACCTTCAGTTTGCTCAGTTCACTATATATTGTTATTATCAAAAGTCGGTTTAAATAAGGCGAGATTTCTTAACCCAACCGAATTACCAAAAGGCCAACCTCGGCTGAGTACAAAAAAAGAAGTGTTAATAATAATAATAAATAATAAAATGTCTTTATTAGGCACATTATATAAACTACAACATAATGTGACCTCTACGTAGGCGAAGTCTAGCTCTTGGCTACTCTACTTAACCTACCCAAATAATAAATTGAAATACTTAATCAAAGGAAACTTTGACAAGCAGCAAAAGACGCTTCAAAACAATGAGCTTGATAGCTTCCTGACATACATAATATACACACATATATTACGTAAAAATTAAATAAAATATAAGAATTAAAAACTAACTTTTCCGCAATTACTACAATGACAAATAAATCTGTTTCACATGCTTACGAAATCTGTTTACTGGCCAATCCTTTATATTGTCATCTAATTCGTTATAAATCAGGATAGCATTGTAAGTGTATGAACTACGAAATAAAGTTGTTTTATACATAGGGATCTCTAGTCTTTTTTTGTGTCCGCAACCAATGTCTGAATTATTTCGCCTGAAAACAAATTTCTCATAAAGATACAAGGGGGATCGAGAAGATATGATCTTATGTGTAAACACTGTTATATGGTACTTGCAAGCATTTTCTATACACATCCAACCAAGCTGAAATCTCTTTAAGGAAACATGATCATACTTCTTGAGATTAAATACAAATCGACAACAAGTATTTTGGAGTTTTTGGAGTCTTGCTTTTGTGATAGAATCAAGACAATGATAGAACACAGTGCTACAGTAAAATAAGCTTGGAAATATAATAGCCTCACACAACTTTTTTCTAACTTTAAAATTCAAAATAGAGCGATTGACATAAAAACACTTGAAAGTTGCATAACATTTTTTTAAGATAGACGAAACATGCTCCTTAAACCGTAAAGTATAATCAATAATCAACCCTAAATTTTTTGTAGTATTTACGACAGCTAGACGCTCCTTGTCGATTTTTACATCAAGAGAATTCAATATAGTGTTACGTTTGACAGCAGGACAAAAAAGCATCACTGAGCACTTATCCTTACCATTTGAGTATCCTACTGTTGCCTCCAAATCATCATTAAGCTCATTGATTGAAGTATGTAAAGTGTTACTATTAAAGCTCTTATATATCTGTGTATCATCGGCATAGCACATCACAGAAGAGTTTTTCACAGAGCTACCCAAGTCTATAGTATAATTTAAGTACAACAAGGGCCCTAAAACTGAACCCTGAGGGACACCTGCTGTTATATCAATTGGACTAGATATAGTGTTGTCTATCTCTACTACTTGTTTACGATTTGAAAGATATGTATAAACGTATGCCACTTTGACAGATTTGACGTTCTGCCATTTTATATCAATAAACATCACCGTCAAAACGTTCTTCAAATTTGCCAAAAAACTCGAAGGACTTCCAACATATCGTCTAAATATACGCTTGGCGATTCAGAACACCCTATATATCATTCAAGGAAGTTTATTATATAAAACATAATATCGGCATGTTCTAGTGTGACTAGTGGAAGCGTAACGTAACAACGATACACTCCAGGGACACAATTTGATATCTCTACCTTCAGGCAATTGAGGCGATGTCAGAACGGAAAAGGGTATTGGTCGATAAAGTTTTACTGCGTATTACTAACTTCTATACCAGAAGTACCAATAGGGAATTTGGAAGTTATTTCTATCCGCCAGGCATATTTTCATGAAAACTTTATATTCATATTGAAATTGCAACATTTGTATTTTAACATATTTATACAGGGTGTGAACCTTATGATAGTCATTATTTAAATGGGCGATGAAGAAGCAAAAAGTTTCATATACTAAGTGACATATAAATCCGATCACCCAGTTTAAATGGTTTTATTTTAATAAAATTTTGTATAAGTACTTAATGAAGCATAATAAGTAAATGATAAAAATTTCAAAATGATTGCACTGCTTTAAAGCCCTTTGACCTTTAATAATGTGTGGATGCACCCTGATGCTTCTGATCAGGTGGTCAATGTCCTCCTGTGGTATCTCATTCCAGGCAACCACCAACTCCTCTCGAAGTGCTTCTTAGAGTCTGAGGAGGACGTTGCAAATTGAGCAATCTCCTACCCATCATATCCCACACGTGCTCAATTGGGGATAAGTCGGGAGGTCTTGGTGGCCATGGTAACAATGTGACATCATTATGTTGAAAGAAGTCTATTGTGACTCTTGCAACATGTGGTCGGGCATTATCTTGTTGGAAAGTTGGATCTGCCAGGGTGTCAAGATAGGGTAAAAGATGGGGTTCTAGAACTTCGTAGATATAACGCTGCGCGTTCATGTTACCTCTGATGAAGATTAAAGGTGACCTGGAACCATAAGCTATAGCACCCCAACCATAACTCCAACAGTGTGATGAACATGTCTTTCAACATAAAACTGTGGATTCCTCCTTTCACCATGTCGCCTTCTAACCCTGGTACGACCATCTTGCATGCCTAAACAAAATCGAGACTCATCACTAAAGACAATACTGTTCCATTCCTGATCCCAGAGTGACCGTTGTCTGCACCACTCGAGGCGATTACGTCGGTGTTCTCGAGTTAAAGGGAGGACCCAGTGTGGCCGGTATGAAAACAAGCCAAAACTTCTCATTCGTCGGTAAACACTTCGCATGCCAATAGGTCTTCCGTGTTCTGCAAACCATTCATTTGCAATGGACCTGGTAGTGGAGAAACGGTCCCTTAAGGCCAATAATCTTAGGCGGCGATCTTCACGGTCTGTTGTTCTACGGCGGCGTCCAGTGCCACTTGCTCTTTGCGTACGGCCTTCTCGAAGCCATGCCTGACAACACCTAACCACAGTGTCTACACGTCTTTGCACTCTAACTGCAATTGCCCGAAAAGAGAGTCCAGCTTCCCGAAGTCCCACTATACGGCCCCTATCAAACTCACTAAGTTGACGAAATCGTACAGGTCTCCGTACTCTAGGCATCGTAACCGATCGTAAAGGATGTCAAGAACCAAAATCCGCCAACGTTGATTCTTTACTGCGGCTGAAATATTCATTTTTAGAGCGTTAGTGAATTAAAAAAAAGCAGTATAAAAACCGGAATGTCCAACTGATAAAGCTGAAAATGTTTTCACTTGTTATTTATTTAAGATAAATACATTCACCAACTTCTATTAAAAGAAAACCATTTAAACTGGATGTTCGGATTTATATTTCACTTAGTATATTTGACGTGTACACGAAGAACACAAGGTTACTTCTATGCCGCGGGCACAAAAGCGTTGTATTTTTTGATCCGAAATCGGTAAAAAAAAGATAAATAGCGCTCATTTTCGGAAATATTTTTGTAGGAGTTAAACATTGGGGGTTAGAGGTTGCAGGCGGTGGAGGAAAGTATATCTCAATTTTATGACGGTGGTATATTGCCCAATCCCAGTAATTCTACGCGCATATTAATCATATGTCACTCATCTTAAATGTCCCCGTACATTTACCCTTAAATCTTAGAAATATCTCCTACAGCCTACAGTCGGGTGTCGATACGTGCGACGTCATCCTCCGATGGACAAGCATCGTCGTCGGTGGTCGTATGTTACATTCGGCAATCGCTTCCACGCTGCTGTGGCCTGCGTGAACTAAGAATGTTCGATACGGTATGTTATTTAGAAGTATCGATGCTTTCGCTTCCGATACCCGATTTCTGTTTCCTTCCGCTGGTGCTACTCATATCACGACCTCATACAATTTAATTTGGATACCAGGGTTACCACATTAGGAGGTTTTTCCCAAGAAGCATGGAATTTTTATTTCAGTGGGGAAGATTTTGGGAATATCTTTATCTGGGGATTTCTTTTGGGGACATATATTTTACCGGGGAGGTATTATGTCAAATTTTATTAATGACATTACATAGTGTACTTCTTATGTATTTATTTGCCTTGCACCTTTTCGGTTATTTAACAGCATACGAAAAATCTGTCGGTCAAAAATATCCAAGAATACCTAACAAATCGTAAACCTATGATAACAAAAAATAAATGGTATTTTTTAGGGATTTTCCAGAATTTAGGGGATTCTTACATTTTGACTGAGGAAATTAAGCTAAACGACCATGTTGGATTAGGTTACGGGGAATTACACACACATGAGACACAGTGTTTTTAGTATTGATTGATTAAACATTATTGTTTGAAACAAAACATTATTGTGATAGTGATGCCTCCTGTAAGAAGAGTTTTGTGGAGCTATTTTGTAAAATTGAGTTTAGGTGGGAGATGTAAGTTATGCAATTGTGAGGATTTTCACGTATTTTTATTAGTGAACGTATTTGACAATCTAGTCATGCTGTTGAAAAAAGTAAACGTTATTTTGAGGGTTGCAGAAAAAACAACTTCGATTTTCGGCAGTGTATGTTCTGTTTCGAAAAGTTTCGTTACTTGTGGTATCGATATTTTAATACTTCCTAAAACGATACGAATCGATACATGGTATCGATACTTTTCGTGGATCGGAGCATCCCTAGCGTGAAATGTGCATGGTGAAGGCCAGTATCGTCATTCACGCGGGATTGGCCATCGCAACGATCATGTGCACCTTTGTTAATTCCCCTCAGGGAGACAGAAGGGCATTTAATTTCTTGTTTTACACATACTCGACGGCATTTTTTACACGATTGCCTACTTGCATACACACCGATTTTGGACGGCCGGCAAAATATCGACCGACTTTTTATCGGTAGGCTCTGCTTACACACGCGCCGGTTTTTTACCGGTGCAGTGCTGATTTCCAATATTATTTTTATCGAATCCCCAACGAGTTGTTGCAATGTGGTTACTGTACTATCGTATAAAGCGTCGAGGAATTAAGCGAAAGCTCCGGATTCATTTTTCTCTTTGGACTCCACTTCTTTAAAATCCTCTCTCAGTTCGCAGCAAACTTGACTCCATGCTTCTCTAGTAGCGCATCTGCCTTTAAATATGTCCAAAGTTTTATCCCATAAAACTGGTCTTGCTTCCACTAGCGCAATAAGTATGTCATTATCGATGTTCACCTCTTTATGCATTGTATGTGCGTTGTATGTATTCAGGACTTCAAACTTTATTTCTATGTATGGACGGCTTTTTGCGGAAAGGAACCAACCCAGAAAAACAATTATTGAGCAATTAGGCTTTAAAGTTTTGACAATGATGACAAATTCATTTCAGACCCAACACGATTTTAATTAATGGTATACTAAAGGCTTTAAATATGTGTATGGATCTGTTTTACAGTAAAGGGTATTGCTCGTAATGGTTTATTTTCCTGAAATCTAGATTTTTCATATTTAGTGGGTTGGTTCCTTTCTGCAAAAAGCCGTCCATATATAGAAATAAAGCTTGAAGTCCTGAATACAGAGCTCGAAAAATTTATGTGAATATGACGAATAATGTTTTTTTTTTATTTTTGCGTTAAAGCACCATTCACCTTCCTATCCTATCATCAATAAAAAGCTCAGCTTAGCGAAAAGCTGCCCTCAGGGCGGAGCTCTTTCACCCCTACTATGGTGCATCGTGGTGAACGAACTCCTCGTTAGGCTCAGCAGTGTGGATGTCTACATGCAAGCCTATGCTGATGACTTGAGGATAGTAGTTAGGGGACGTTTTTGTAGAACAGTCCCTGAAATTATGCAGGACGCTCTGTGGAATCGTGGTCGATCTTTCTGTTAATGCTAGAACGACCGAGCAGATCCTATTCACTATACTACAACTATTTAAAACTGTAATGACTCATACGCGTGATCAACACGTGATCAGAGCTCGATCCCGGCTTCCTTCCAGTACAGCCGTATAGCGTACGGCATATGTCGTTTCTGTGGCTTTGCGGTGGTCAACAGCACAGACAGAGATGGAAATAATGGCTGATTGTTCTCCGCCGGTAGAACCAATGAAATCAAAGACGCGCCTCGACCGGCAGACTCATAGGCGTCGGCAACGCATTGGAACGTGTTTCGTTGAGCGATCGCATATTGTGTGTTTTTATAAGAATTGTTGTGTGATTGTTATTGTTGTGGTTTCTGTGGTTACTGTTTTGGTTACACTTAACCATGGAGAGTACAAATGGCACTAGTGGAAGTACTGAAAGCCAGGGAACAAGTAGACGGCTTCGTAAAGCACTGAAGAGGGACGCGAAAGAAATCGTGCTCAACGTGTTGAATTATCTGAACAGAACTATGTCGCAGGGAGATGCACTCGCGCGTTGTGAAAGTATGACAGGCGTTCCAGAGTGGACCATTCGCAGGGTGGTGCATGAAAAGAAGAAAACTGGAGCTACTGATCCAAAGTTTAATTTGAAGGGACGAAAGGCCGTTAAATTGGATGACGATAGCAAAATAGCGTTAAGGCGAACCGTACATTCATTCTTCTTTAGGAATGAGATACCAACCCTCAAGGCTGTACAGCAGCGATCAAGGAAAATGAAATTATACCCCAAATGAGCGTCGAGGTAATGAGGAAATCCCTGCACGGAATTAATTTTCGTTACGAAACGCAAGTCAGTATTGATAGAGAGACCTGAAATAGTCGCCTGGCATCGAAAATACCTACGCGAAATGATTGAATATATTCGACAAAGCAGAAAAATCTATTATTTGGACGAGACATGGGTAAATGCAGGTCACAAAGTTAAAAAAACCTGGATAGACAAAAACGTAGTGAGTAACCGACAAGCAAGCATTGAAGGTTTGTCAACAGGTCATCGTGGACCGTCAGGGAAAGGTCAAAGATTGATCGTAACTCATATTGGTAGCGATAGTGGCTTTTTAGAAGAGTGTGACTTGATTTTCGTCTCTAAGAAAGGAGGTGATTACCATGACGAAATGAATGCCAGCTGCTTCGAGAGCTGGTTTCAAGGGGTGCTTCAGCGAGTTGAGCCCAACTCTGTGATCGTCATGGATAATGCTTCCTACCATAGTCGTCGAGCCGAACGTGTACCGACTATGGGATCTCGAAAAAGTGACATGCAGCAATGGTTGCGCGAAAAAGGAATCCCGTTTGACGATTCATGTGTGAAAGCGGAATTGTATGAAAAAATTAAACAGCACAAACCTGCGAACATTAGTTACGTGACTGATGAGATGGCCCGTCAATGTGGTGTCACTGTGCTGCGGTTACCGCCCTACCACTGTGAACTAAACCCAATAGAGCTCATCTGGGCTCAAGTGAAGGGTTATATTGCGCGCCATAACACAACCTTCAAATTACCAGACGTTAAGGTTTTACTTGAGACTTCCATACAGCTAGTAACGCCCGAAGCTTGGCACAATGCTATCCGTCATGTTGTGAAGGAAGAAACAAAAATGGGGCAGCTTGACCACCACATCGACACCATCATAGAACCAGTTATAGTCAATTTCAACGAGGAAAGCGATAGCGACAGTTTATTACTGTCAGATGTAAGTGGAAGCGACGATGAATAAAGGTAATTCCCAAATTTTTGACTTACAATATGTTTCAAACCACTCTTTGTTAAGCATGTGACAAATCTAGTTCACCCATGTTAAACATTCATACCCCGCCTATGAACAGCCGACTACTGGTAGTTAAGTGATGTTCACGTGAACATCGATGAGTCATTACAGTTTTAGATAGTTATAGTATAGGAGAAGAATGCTTGACGGGCTGGTCATGCCGACCTTCTTTGGGACGAGATTAGTTCTATCCCAATAAGTGAAATATCCGGGAATTATCCTGGATTGCAAACTGAACTGAAGAGAGCATGTTGAATACGAGGTTAGCACGGCTCGCAATTCAATGTGGGCCTGTAGACGCGTTGTCGGTGTAAGGTGAGAGCTTAAACCCAAAGTGGTTCTCCACGACGATAGTACGTCCAACTCTGTTGTACGGCTCCCTGGTCTGGTGGCCCTGCATTAGAGCTGAGACAACTAAGGCCAAACTCAATAAAATTCAGCGTTTGGCCTGTATTAGCATCACAAGCGCAGTGCGAACAACGCCATTGAGTGCAATGGAAGCTCTGTTGGATCTCCCACCGTTGGATCTGGTAATCCGCGGTGAAGCGCGAGTGGTCGCTCATCGACTGTGGAGTCAGGGCAGCTGGGCTTTCTTGAATCCTCTCAAGGGGCATACTGCCATCTTAGTCGAATTGCAACGGGAGGACCCCGTCCTTCTAAGCAGGGGTGATCGTATTACCTCTAAATATTGCTTCAACCGCAAGTTTATTGTGGAGTAACCAACGAGGGAGGAGTGGGACGGCGGTAGCCGGGGATTCCGGAGTGAACGGGCAGGTCTGGTACACGGACGGCTCGGTCACCGAAAAGGGATCATGTGCTGGGGTCTCAGGGCCTACAACTAGGCTATCTCTACCTCTCGGTAGATACACCACTATTTTCCAGGCGGAAATCTTTGCGATTCTGGCTTGTGTATCTCGCATTCTGGAGGAGGGTGGGCTTAAGAGAATAAAACAATCTTATCCGACAGCCAGGCTGCAATGAAGGCACTAAGTGCTTGTAAGATTACTTCGAGTCCTGTATTGCAATGCAGTTAGGCTCTGGCTTGCCTCGCAGCGAGGCATCCGGTACCGCTAATCTTGGTACCGGACGCGATGGCGAAGACAGGATCAGCCAGCAAGCACGTTGGTCCTGAGCCAGCCTTAGGAGTGACCGCGCATGCAGCTAGGAGGAAAATGGAGACGTGGATTGCAAGACAACACTCTCAGAAATGGAGAAGAATCTCCAGACATCTCCGCCAGGCACGGGAACTCATTGAAGGGTCCAGTGCTAAGGATGGACGTTTCTGCTTATGGATAGAGCCAACCTAAGGTTGCTGGTGGGACTGTTGTCTGGCCATAACACGTTAAGGCGCCACCTGCACGTGATGGGGGTGGCTGAGGATCCCTTGTGTGAGCGCTGCAGGGTAGAGAAAGAGACCTCGGCCCACGTTTTGTGTCGCTGTGAAGCTCTGAGCTACTATAGGCAGACTATACTGGTATTCATTACTGTGGATGCTCAGGACGTCAAGGAGCTTGGACTCAAGGCGATTCTCAACTTCGCTAAAAGGGCGAGGCTTGTGATCTAAGGAATGTAGAGGTGCATAAGGGCCCGGTTAAGCGGCCTATGCACTGGCTTTTTATGGTGGCCGGAATGCCTCTAATTTCACGATTTATTCATTAATGGGAGCCAGAAATCAAGCGGGTCATCTGACAGGCTCATCGCGTGACAATCTAGTGGAGGAAAGTTCTGAGGAGCAAAGCCCATTGATATAGCGGAAGAAGATAGCGTTGATTCGGAAGGGTCTCGCGACAGTCCGTTGGAGAAGAGTCGTCGATCAGCCGGACGTCCCTCTTCTGAGCAGCGTCGAGCACGGATAATGTAGTCGGGGCGGCAGCTGCTCGAACATGTGAACAGCCTTATCTGGACCTTGTACAGAGTGAGAGAAAATCGCTTCTTAGCTTAAACAAATAGCCTAGCTTTTTCCCAGCAGCTGCCGTGATTTTTGGAAGCATTAAACTGTACCAGATTGTTCTGTCCCCAAGCAGTTAGTACCCCCAGATCTCTCGTCAGAAAGTCGCTTTTAGTCTTCTTCACTCCAGCTAGGCGGAGAGATCGGCTTAGCAATTTGAATTTCTGCATGTAGAGTGCTGTCACTAGTAAAGTTTTGGATCGGATTGATCGTACAGGAAACGGTGTCGATTATATTTAATAGACGCAATGTCCGAGCCCTGGGGAATACCTTCGTTGACACTGTGGGATGAAAAAAAGAACATGTCAATTACGACGGATATCTTGCCAAAGGGAAAGCTAGCCACCCAGTTGCAAAGCTTCTCTAAGAGGTCATAGGATAGAAGTTTGCGGGTTAGGGGATTTCTCTCTTAGGAATAATTACAAGGGAGTTTTCTTTAAAAGGAAAATGCTTTCAAAGACCTGTATAAGATTCAAATATTCTCTACTTTCCTAGGCATTCCTTTGTCTCATGGGATAAAAGATGAAAGATGAAAGAATACAGCCTGAGCTAATTTACGAAATGCAAAAGGGGAGAATTTTAATTTTATCAACTCTTTTCGTGCTCTGTATAAATTGGATTATATAGCTCCCTCGAAGCTTTTCTGTATCGCTTTTTCCTGCTGTACTCTTTTTGCTCGTTGTTTCAGCTCGATTATGAAGTTTTAAATTGCTCTGGGAAATGCCGTCCTGCTTCTTTAATTCCAGGTGGAATATTGGCAGTTTTGTGAAGGAATTAACTGCAACCGTCCGATAGACACCGAGAAGTAATTAACTATAATTGAATATTTTCTTTGTTCTTATAATTTTCTCATCAGAAGGTTTTATTCTTTTAATAAACAAACTAAATAAATGATATCGAACTAAAGGTACCTCACACGGTCTCGTTCACTTCGGTAAGAAAAGTTCTCTCATACAGAAACAGAGCTTAAATATCCCACCAACGCAACGGAAAGACGACCCAAAATTTTAAACGTATTCAGAAAGTTGGTCCAATTAAATTTTTCGAGAAAAATAGTATAAAGTAGATTGACACTCTGCACTTCTCACGCAACGTTATCATCAGTTCATGAAGGATCAAGTTCCGCACAAGTTAGTCCCGCTGAACCAGCTACAAACGTGTATAACAAAAAATTAGATGGATTAATCCATAATCCATAGTCACCAATCATTTGATAACGACGCTAGTTTCGTCTCTGCCGACTGTGCCGACCTGCCACTGCCGACTGTGTAATGGGTCGCAAACTTCAACTGCTTTGCTGTGGTGTCGTCACTGACACACCGCTGCAGGAGGAATATTTATATATTTTAGCAATATTTGGATATTGTAAGTACGTACCACTGTACTGACTCAACTGTTTCTTCATCTACAGATATGTTTTTCTGAATTTTATCATCCTTAAATATACCACTCATTTCGCCGTCTATGATGGTTCTCTGGATATTCCGTCAAGTAGATTGATATAGATATACAGGGTGATTTGAAATTCGACCTATTCCCTGAAAGTGGTGATTCTAGAGGTCATTTGTGATAAATTAATTCCCATCAACTGGGGGTCAGAAATGAGCGGATTCCGAGATATCAGCATTTCAAGATTTTTTAAGAAATTTCTGCTTACTGATTTTTTTAAATCTACCCATTTCTTGGAACTGAACTGATGGTTTTCTGAAATCTGTGGAACTAGCAAATAATTGAAATAAGAACGCTATACCAAAAGTTTGAAACTGTTAGTGAAGAGATTTTGATTTTTGTTTATTATTTCCGAAAATCATCATGAGTTATTTGAAATAAAATGTATGACATTCGGCATACATATTACTAAAATAATTACAGAATTTCATGAGCTTTCCAAAACCATACAAATCTTATTAACAATTTCAAGCATTTGAAAAAAAAAACAGCAGCCATCGATTAGAGATAGTAGATTTCGTAAATGCAATTTTCACAAAACAGCTTTCTCGGAATAAAATGCATCGTATTTCTACGTGTCAAACTGACTCGTTTAACTCCGTAAGTATTCGGGTGTGCCCATCGGTGTGTCCAATGAGGTTCGTGATGCGTCATGAGCGACAGTTTGTTTCTCGCTTAGTACAACTATCTTTGGAACTCAGACGTGTTGTATCGTGTTGTGATCTTACTAGACGTTCCTGCAATTTGTCTGTATGTGTAATGGCTGCTTACGAAAATGAAGAATACGCCGACATTATGTAGGGTAATTCGTGGATAGATGGCCCAGGTTTTGAAATTTCATGTTAAAATTTCTATATGTTGAATTAGAATTACTGTTAATTTTTTTTACGAGTTTAGAAACATGTATTAAGTAATAAAATGCATTAAAAAATAAAACTTATAATTCACAAGAAAAATAAAAATAGTTGACAAAAACCATCTCCCCCACAGTGCTGAGGTGAGATGGCGCAACAAAAAAAAAAGGTGTTTCTACCAAAATGTCACTTTGTTTTGCATATAACAACACCACAGTCGTGGCAAAAGTTCACAAACTTGGAGCAGGAATCGTGAAACCATTTGGAGCAACGTATGCAATTAACCCAGTCGTCAGATTTTGTGGTCTGGGAATATAGGGTGACTTTGAAGTTGAGTCATTAATTTTCAGATAATGATTGTAGAAGGAAGATAAACCAAAATATGTGTGTAAAAATAAAAAAAAATTAAAAAAAAATTTTTACCTTGTTTTATAAAGTATCCTCCCGACAAGTATTTCAGTGCGGACCTGTATTTGATCGTGAGGTCCCCTGTGAGGTCTTAAGTCACCTGATTCACGAGCCCGTTGTACTACATTAACAAAGGCACGAGGGGTTGGTTGCACTCGATTGGGAAACCGATCCGCATAAACATGTGCCATTTTTTATTTCGTTTGAGCCACGCAACAGACACTATTCATACGCTAACCGACAGACACTGACTGTATGTATAACTGAACTGAATAAAATACTTAATTGCAAAAACATCGTTCCAAATTCTTTCGCTTTTTTGTTTCCGATGCGATGAACCGGTAAGGCGGATTATATCCGTTGTTGCCAAACAGGAGTACATGATATTATTATTGAGACAGGGCGGTACTCAAACTTCCAAAGGGCTATAACTTTGTTACTTTAATTTTACCAGAAAAATGGTAAAGGAAAAAAGCATTTCTTTTGATCAGATCTACTCACTGTTAAAATAAATGACTCAACTTCGAAGTCACCCTGTATTTCGCCACAACCGGTGCAAGTCTGGTCATCGTCGTCCATAGCATCTGAAGAGTCATCCAATGTCGGTGCCTCTAGTCCTTCATCTGAGGATGAATCGCTTTTGGCAGCTTTCCTTGTTCTCTTTTTAGTCACTTTTGGCTTCTTCAAAACCGGTTTTAATTTTCTGGTCTTTACTTTTCTCTCTTTCTCTGTTTTTTCTAGACGCTTCGTTCTTTTTTCACCAATTGTTGTCTCTGTAGTTAAAATTTCTGCCAGCTGCTTGCTTCGTTTTCGAACCGAATTAACGTCAGCGGAAACAACTGGAACGGGTGAGATTATATCTAGCATTTTCCCGGGGGTACTTTTCACGGGAGTATTTGCATTAGTTTCTACAACCGATTCATTTTGTTTTTCTGGTACAGAATCATCTTCAGTCTGCCAACTGCAGCAAGGTTGTTGATCATCATGCGATAAGGCTTTGTTAAAACTTTGAGAACTATCATCTGGAATTTGTTTATTTTTGCCTGCATGAGGAGCCTCAAGTACGCTGTTAATTTCAGTCAAATAGGCGTCATCTGGAATAGCAGAAGGATTGAATGGCATAATTCCCGTAGCCTTGAATGACGAAGTTCCATTATTTACAGTTGCAGACTTGTTCCATCCTTCAGCAAGTAACTTTCCAAATTGTAATCTAGTGAGCTTTCGTCTTGGATTATTTTTAATGTTTAAATTGCAAGCTGAACAGTAGTTTAATTTTAGCGATCTGAAAAAGCATCTATCTAGCGGCTGTAAAAATTGCGTCGTATGACTTGGTAAGCAAAGCAGTATGATGTTGTGTTCAACACAGTATTCTAGCATCTCAACGGTATTGCAGTGTGAAGCATGACCATCAAGCAGTAAAAAAACTGCCCCTGTCGGCTTTCTGGGAACGAACTGATCTTTGAGCCAATGAAAAAATATGTCACTGTTGACATAGGCCGATCTTTCAGACATGTAGACCAAGGATCCAGGAGGCATCCCATCCTCAAACTCTTGTTTTTTATTTTTTCCTTTCATTACGCAGGTTGGGGGAAGAAAAACGCCTTTCGCGTTACAACAGGCTATAACCTTGATGGTTTCCCCCTTTTCACCGGAACTGATACTTGCGATGTTCTTAGATCCTTTCTTAACAATAACATGTCCTGACCTATTATTGAGTTGTAAGCCCGTCTCATCCATATTGTAGATATGTCCAGGTTTATTCATAAGATCGTTCTCGATTTCGATCAGAGTATTTTCTAGCATTTGAAAGTAAGCCTCAATGTCTTTTTTGTTCATACCCAGGGATCGATTAATGGAGACCCCTTCTGCTTTTCTTACTGACAGCCCTGGGTTTCTCTGCAGAAACAACTGCAGCCATGGAAAACCAGCTAATCTTGATTCCTTATTAAAATTATGTTTAATGCCCAGCTGTTCGGCCAATTTGAAAGCCATACTTCGCACATCGGTTCGAGTAGGAGAAAATCCGTTTTTTTGAAGTTTTAGGATATGTTTGGTCAACTTTTCTTCAGCAGCTTCGCCTAACGTGGAGGAGGGTCCAAGAGGGCCTTTCTTCACATTTTCTCTCAATTTTCTTCTTCGTAGAGTGGTTGTCGGTACCCTAAAATTTCGACCAGCCTCGTTAACTCCCATTCTATTTTCATTAACGGCTTGAATGGCTTCGGCTAACTGTTGTTCGGTACAACTATAGTCAACGCCAAACAAAGTGGCGTGCACGTCATCACGATAAAAATTCCCCGACCTAATGTCTAGGTTTCTATCACAAACAATTGCTCTATTGCAGTTTCATATTAATGTGATATATAAATTGTAAAATGGTCATTACTCTCTTATTATGGTTAATAGTCATATAAACATTGTTATTAAAATATCACATAAGTTGCTTTCTGATAAATTTAGACGCATTATGCGAAATAAAATGTTTTGCAAACGATCCAATCACTTATCGACATGTAAACGCACTAAACCGATTTCGCAGCGTTGACACATTGTCACCTTGAAACTTATTTAAACTGGGAACTGACATTTGTATTAATTTTGACACTGAATCAATTTGTGGCATTTCAAATCTTTATAAATCCTTTGGCCCCGCATACTGTAAATCAACAACTGTTTGTTTCAAAACAAAATTATTCATTTTACGAGTAGATAAAGGCAATTTTGGTATATAAAGATGCCCAAACAGTTAAATAGTCGGTGTAAGGAACTCGTGGCCTCGTTAATGCACTACTTTGAGCAAGAAAGGGACAACAACGGGCCTTTGTTGCCTTTAAATGCTGTTCAAGAGGTAGGTCACTAATAATTATATGTAATGTATATTAATAATAGTGAAATTTTATTTCATTTTTTGTAGCGTGTTGCTGCTGCTTTAAAAATTAGTTTAAGGACAGTTAGTCGTATTTCCGAGGGTGTGAAAAGTGATGCAAATTTAGAAAGAAAAAGCGGAGTTATATTAAACGTGTAACCAACACAGCGACATTGGATACAAGTGCCATTCGAGAAGTGATCTATAATATGTATCACAAAAGTAAGATCTTATTATAATAACTTATCAGAAATTTGCATTAATTTGTTAACTAAATTATAATGTCATATTACACATGGTTTCAGAAGAACAAGTTACGATACAAACTTTATGGTCTCGATTAAGAGATAGGGCATTATTTGATGGTAGTGCCACGTCTTTAAGGCGGTTGCTTAGAGATCTTGGATTTAAGTGGCTTAAGGACAATCCGCGACGAGGGCTCATGGAACTACCAAGTATAGCTTTGAAAAGGGTGGAATTTCTAAGGCAATGCAATCAAGCCAAGGTTGAGGCCTTATACCAGTTTGTCTTCCTCGATGAAACTTGGATATTTCAAAATGGGACCATAGGTCGCTCTTGGCAAAATGGAAACCAAAAAAGCGTGAAAGCTATTAAAACATATGGTAAAAGGTATGTACTTTTACACAATTTGCACTATAAAATTTAAAACTAATATATTTTAAATACATTATATTACATGCTGGAAATGAAAATGGGTTTATTGAGGGTAGTGAAGCGATATTTTCTTCGAAAACAAAATTGAGCGATTACCATGAAGAGATGAACCAGGACAATTTTTTGAAATGGTTTCAACATCAGTTATTAGAAAAGTTGGAGAGTCCATCTATGATTATACTGGATAACGCCCCTTATCACAGCATGATATTGAACAAAGTGCCCAACAATGCATGGACAAAAAAAATATCCAAGACTGGTTGACAAATCAAAACATACCATTTTTAAACACAATGTTTAAAACAGAGCTATTGAGTATTGTTGCTCGGTACATAATGCTTCTTAATTATATATATTTTGGTCGACAGTTTATATTTCTTTTGTTTATTCCTATTCTTAAAATAACTGCTTTTTTAGAAACAAACCACCTAAAATATACGTGATTGATGAATTGGCGGAACAACATGGGCACAAAGTTCTTCGTCTGCCTCCTTACCATTGTATATTTAACCCTATTGAGTTAATTTGGGGCATAGCAAAAGGTTACTATAACAGACATATTGGTAGAGATGGTAACAGTGAAAAAGACTGTTTGGATATGTGGAACGAGGCTCTACAAACGGTTACCCCAGACATGTGGAAAAATAGTGTTCGACATACTGAGCAAGAAATTTTTAAATGGTATGAAAGAGAACGAATTTTTGATCGACCAGACATCGAACCTTTAATAATCAACTTTGAGAGTGATGAAGATTCAGATTCAGACAGCGCTGAAGAAAGAAACTCCGACTAACTTTATTGTACAGAAAAAGCTTACACCAGTAGCTTACCTAATTTTAGAATGCATTTTTCTGTATGAATTCTGTAAAATAAATACCATGCATAAAATTTGGAGGACCCCATTTGGATTTTTATTCAGTACCTTTAAGCTATCAATTAAATATGGTAGTTTCATAGTGTCATCTGATCAATAATTGTCATACTTAATGATTATGCAAGTACAGATCTATAATTTTATTATACTATTATTTTTGTTCTCATTTGAGGTTAATATTGCTTATAAACCTAGATATGTAAATAATAAATTTATTATTTTACAAAAAGTTTGGCAACAATTTAAATTTTTCAACACACCCACCTTGATGACGTGCACGCCACTTTGTTTGGCGTTGACTATAGCCCTGGAACAACTTCCAGTGCGCTTGTATTTGGTAGGCATGCTGAAAAGAAAAGGAATTATTAATAAGCCATCTCACCTCAAAAATAAGTGAACCATCTATCCTCGTTGTGAGAGGAGAGATGGCGCACCTCAAAATCTAAACACGTGTTGAAATATGCGCAATTTTGAGGTTATATAACAAAACTGGAACGTTTTTACTTACCTGGCACAATATTGCGACTAAAATTATTATTAAATTTGAAGTTCACTAGCACGAAGAAGCAATTCGGAAAAATATTTTTTACTATCCGGATCACGTATAAATTAGTATTCAAGTAGATATTTAGCCGATGAACACAAACGGTGCGACGGCTTGCCTGATATAGACTAAAGTACATCAGAGCGCAGCTGCTCCCCTCTAACATTAGCGGTGGCGCTGTAAAACCATTGCGCCATCTCACCTTCTGCGCCATCTATCCTCGAATTACCCTATTGTTACGGTTTTTGTAATGGTGACTGCTGCAGCACGAAGGCATTACCGAAGGCGTTTCTCTACCGACATTTACCAGATATAAGCGTGTTTGGTATTACCGACGCATACGAGAATCTGGCTAGGTTCATCGACGACAAATATACGTTGGCAGACCTGTTGTCCATAATCCTGACGAAGAAGAAATTTTAGAGTTTTCGTTCGAGCAGACCCACTGTGTCAACTAGACAAGTGGCACGGCAACTTGGTATATCCCAATGCTCATACAGCCCAACTTTATTAATACCATTACATTCCAGTGCACGCTATGGAGGAGGGCAATCCTGCACGAAGGATTGACTTTTGTAGATTCTTAATTCATGCCGATATTGAATACTCAGACTACCTCAAAAATATCCTTTTGGACTGATGAATCGAAATTCGATCGTGATGCTATTACAAATTATTACAATGCCCACTATTGGGCCCCTAAGCGCAAAATCCAAAAGAATTCAAGGAAGGCAAGCACCAGAGAAGATGCTCGTTAAACGTTTGGATGGGAATTATGCATAATAAATTGATTGGACCATTTTTCTTGCCCGACAATTTAAATGGCGCCACTTATGAAAGCTTTTTAAGAAATTAAGTAGATGCATTACTAGAAGATGTTCGGCTAGCTAGGAGAATCAATATGATATACCAGCATCATGGCTGCCCAGCCCATTATTTTCGAGGTGTACGACAAAGGCTGGATGAAAAGTATCCACAGAGATGGATCGGTCGAGAAGGCCCAACGCCGTGGCCGGCGAGAAGTCCGGACTTGACGCTTTGCGATTTTTACATTTGGGGTCACATGAAACAATTAGTGTACAATGCATCCATTGTAGATATCGAGTATTTGAGGCAGAGGATTTTGGCAGCCACCGAAGAGATGGAACGCACTCTTTCAACAACAGTGACAGTGACCCAACTACGTCGTAGGCTACGTGTTTGCATACGTAACAATGGCAGGCAATTTGAACAAGATTTATAGTTTTTAAGTACCAACGTTGGGTTTTTTTCATTAATTCTTTATACAGTACCTTTTTTTTGCTTTAATTAATTAGATTTAAAACTTTACCGAGCTCATTTAATTTAAAAATTTAGTTGTAACTTTGTACGTTTTTTTTAAGGATAATCCTGAAAAATTAAATTTGTACCGTCTTTGAAAGCTCATGAAATTCTGTAATTATTTTTGTAATTTGTACTCCGACTGTCATACATTTTATTTCAAATATCTTATGTTGATTTTCGGAAATAATAAACAAAAATTAAGATCTCTTCATTAACAGCCTTTTATTTCTAACAGTTTCAAACTTCTTTATAGCATTTTTATCTCAATTATTTGCTAGTTTCACAGCTCTCAGAAAACCATCAAATCAGTACCAAGAAATGAGTAGATTTAGAAAAAATTGTATTGATCAGTAAGCAGAAAATTCTTAAAAAATCTTGAAATGCCGATATCTCGGAAACCGCTAATTTCCGACCCCCAGTTGTTGACGATTAATTTATCACAAATAACCTCTAGAATCACCACTTTCAGGGAATAGGTCGAATTTCCAATCACCCTGTATTTGAGCAACAGAAAACTTGTGAACCGAAGTTCGAATATTACCGCGAGTTTAATACTTCCATCGTTTAGATAGTCGTAGATTTCGCAAATTGATTCAGAGGCTGCGGAGATAAAATCGCTGTAACATAGTATTACAACGTGACAGATATTCCTGCTCAATCTTGGAGGTGGTGAAAATTGTAGGTTGGAAGCTGTATGCAATAAATGTTTGTTGCATATTTGGTGTTAGTGAAATACCTTCTATTATTAAGAAACTGTTGATCTCGGTGATACTATGCAGTAGTTAGACGTAAAGTCACACATATTTTCCCTACATTTGACATGGAAACATAAATATGATTTGCTTTATATAGTTTGATATGTAGAGGTCGGAGATTCATCGTACCTAAGTGAGCTTACCTAATCACGATAAAGTGAAAATCACCTAGTTCCAAGTTGACATCTTACAGGGAATCCTACATATTGTCACAGGAAATCTATATAATGTAAAAAAAATGACATAATGTCACTTTCCAAGATACGTGATCTCCCTGCCGCTGTCAAAAAAATCTGGCTTCCAAGCACAACCGTTACCTTGAAGGTCTGTGATGTCTCAATCTATAAGATTTTCTTGTTTCAAGATCGATGCAACTGAAGACTTGCTGTTTTTAATGAAAAACCATTGAATTTGTTTAGCTAATGATATTCATATCACGTTTAAAGTATATTTTTCTTAGTTTGAATGTCACCACCCTGGTACCTATAAAAGCTATCAAGTGCAAAATATCATCTGATCCTGTCAAATATATATCACATATCATATAGCCTTATGACATAATGAGCCGTATTAATAAAAAAAGCATATCCTCGGTAGCATAAGGTTCGGAGAAAAAGGTAGAAGTATAAGCATATTATTGTTTTCATATTCATAATGATTACCTTATACTCGCGAGGATATCCTCTAAGAATAAGTGAAAGGTTGACTGGTATTTGTATCTTGAGCGACATGTCCTGACTTGTTCCAGCTTGTAGTTGACGTGGGAGTTCGTTCACTCAGCATCACTGACAGTTGTACTCCAGAACTCACACAGACAGTTCCGTATTTTTACTGGCATCACAAGTGGCTTGCACGTAGTAGGTTTCCTTTTCCGGTTGATATACTCATCTCCATGGCGATTTGGCTTCAGGATTCCTATATGTGTACAATCAATTACAATAATTGCTGTCGCTTTACCATATCCACGTGGCCTCCATCAGTTCATGGTTGGTAGTCGGAAACTTGATCCATTCGTTCGACTGTGCAACTGTGCTGTTCACAACTCTGTCCACAGTCCGAGATACCGTTGCTTGACTAACACCAAGTTCCTGACGAATACCTTGTTGATATCCAGGGTCTCCGAGATAGCGTAGACATATCTTTATTTTATGAATACATGAAAGCACGCCTCCTCCAGTTTCCTCATTCTCAACTAAAAAGCTGTCCGCAAGCCATTGTACATTTGCTTCGTCGAACCGATATAATTTTTTGAGGTCACAAGTGAAGGTAAACGAGGTTTGTACGTTTCAACATCCCTAACATCCACAATTGCCGCCATCATCGTTTGACCACCTTTCATTACGAAGTTGAGTCTACTACTGACCACACTCAGAATGTTTGACGGATATGCTTCCTATGCCAAGTATAAGGTGAAGATTATAAATATCCTTTTACTTATGTCACTGCTTTGAAGGATATGCATATACTCAAAAAGCAAAAGCATTTACTACAAATTATTATAAATACCATCTGGAGGATTTCCTTCAAAATTTGCAAGTACAAGGATATCCTTTGTTTTCTGATTACGGCTCAATAGCCCGTATTTATAAAAATGTAGCATTTACTTTGAAGTAAAAGGTACAAGCAAAAGGTAGAAGTAAAAGGTTTGTCTGTAATTCGTATTGATAATCTCCACCTCTTCCTTGCAAGCTTCGAGAAAATAAAGTAAAAGGTACGGAGATTAGCGATTTCGACAAGATATGACTTGCAAGTGCAATCAACGCGTATGTGGTCTGTAACTGATGGGGTTGATCTTATTTGTCTCATAATTAAAAGCAGTTCGCACGTCAATTGATGTAAAGAAGATCCATCTAACTTATTTGTGCAGCTATTTTAAAGTGAATAAAATATTTAAAATGTCTGACACCGATAGTGAACAGGAAGACGCCCCTAACGAGATGATGTTTATCGCTGAAAAAGTCCAAGCATTTCCGGAGATTCTCGAGAAATATCAAGCTCCAGTGATGAAAAAGAAGAAAACTGCTGCATTAACTGATATCGTTAAGGAATACGTTACTTTATTTGGCAATGAGATGGATATTAAAGCTTTTATGAAACAAGTGAACAATATGAAAACGCGACTGAAAAATAAAACTGACAAAAATAAAGCAGTGAACAAGCCCATTCGTCTTTTGTCCTGAGAGAAAATAATGTTAAAGGCTATGGATGTGAACATAAACCCTGTACTAAGTCGGGTACCAGGTGATAAATAGATTCAGGTCTTTACTATTACCTTGTAGATACTTATCATGCATGTATATTTTTATTAGGGGCTCTTGCAATTGGCGTGGCAAGTCAACCTTCTTTACCTACTTCAAAGGATGACATTATGGTGTAAAACCACGCTCATCGGATGATTATGCCTCAAGTAGTAGCTAACAAAACGCGATCCTACACATCGGTTGAAGAGGTTGCTGCAAAAAAAATTCCTCCGAAGCCTACCTTTGCTTCGGGCAAACAAGACTCTGACGAGACGGGGCAGTTAACGACAACCCAGCTTCAACGATTAGTTTTAGTTGAATATCTGAAAGTTGCTCGTCTCCAACAACAATATTACTCTGCCAAGCTAAAAAATTTAAACGAGGCATCAAACGAAAAGGCCCCGCAAGAGTATGTTGTTGTTGGAGATAATATTTACCAAAACTTGTAAATAGACGTATATTATAACAAAAAAAATTAATTAACGTTTTTTTCCAGTTCAAACGTGTAAGTTTATTTTTAGTTTAAGTAAACACATCTTTGCACGTTTAAAGTAAACGACATATACCTAGCATTACATGAAAGTTTTAATCCTAATTATACACCTATATTGTTATTGGTAATAAGACGAGCTAATTCCTCTCGCCGCCTTTGTCCTTGTGCGC